GCTTTATGCAAACATTTAAGACCAGACATCCAAGATGAGAAGCTAAGCAGGAAAGGAAACAACGCTGGAAGCAAGTATTTGTGTGTGTGCACATGTTAAACATGTTCTAAACTCATCCGGGAACTCACACTACTGTCCAATGCTGCCATTTCCCAGTTACGTCTCTTACTTTTCAGTGGCCAGCTTTCTGTTGAGGTTTTTCAAATAGGCCAGCTCGTTCCACACAGCGTCACTGTCCTCTTGTCGAAGCTTCCGCGGGTCTGGGCGCTGCATCTTTCCTCCTGACCTGCACACACAGCATGGAACGGGAGGCATGTAAAACTGTAGAGGCAAGCAAATGCTGAGATTAAAAACTGAACAAACAGCCCCACTAACACACACACGTAGAAAGTGAACCTATAACAAGGGAAAATGGTTGGTACTGTATATCACCTTGCTGCCTTTGGCAACTCACATGGGGGTAATGAGGCTCCCTCTGTTTTTGTTATTCAGCCATATTTAGCGGTATTCAAATGAGCAGCCTTGACTTTGACACTTCATGTACACATTTCTGCGTGTTGGTTTAAAGCTCAGGGCACTGCCCGTGTGGCAGGGCGGCGGAGGATTCCCTCTGCACCATGCAAATGTAAAAAGTGGCAAACACACACTCACAAACGAGGTCATTCGAATGTCTACACCTCACTTATGAATACTTAATGACACTTTGTGTTCAGTAGCTGCTCTCTCTGTTGAATCGCCCCCCACCCCTGTACACCACCCACACGGCCCCCGCTTGGCCCCAGCCGCATACAACTCATCAATCAGCCCCAGCGCAACATATTCAATTCCAATTAGGCTTTCATTTACAAAACCGAAACAGGATTTAGTGAGAAATCCACAAATTGCAGCAGAAGCTGATGAGAAGACGTTCCTCTCCAACACACGACAACAGTCTCCCATTTTCGCCCGATCAATGCGAAAGAGGAGTGGAAATGGATCGCAAGGGTCACAAAGCTCTTTTCCTGCGGTCATTATTGGCGATGAGGACGCTTTCAAGCTACGCTAATACTAGTTAAACCCTGGTACCTGGGAGTTAGAGGCTGCAGTGGAATGGCAAATGTTTTCATTTAATACTTCATCTGCCCCTGTGAGCAATTTGAGGCTATTGGACGACTCTGCAGTTTATAAGAGTGATTATTCTGCGTGTGCCATCTGTGGGTTTCAGTGCTATATCTCAGCTAGAAATTTAAAAAATTTTTTCCTGACCAAATAAATGTGACTACTGACATGAGATGTTAACTAGATTCACAAATACCCAAACAAATAAGCCCATAACTGCAGAGATTGATTAAAATAAGCTAAAGATGAAGGCATTATTAAAAACTTAAAATGCAGAAAATAATCAGGCTTCCTAGCACTGCCATTTTAAATGGTTGCTTTGGTTTATACTAATCCTGTATTAAATATAGCTTGTCATTATCAAAGTTCCCTAAGAAAAAAAGTTTCCTTGCTCAAGACTTGCTGTAAAACATGCTGAAAGTTACAAGGACAATAACAGATCTTTAAATACTCCACTGGTCCTGTTCAGGCTATAAGCTGGGAGCAGGAAGATATGATTCCACCGTAAACTGGACAGAACCTGGTGTTTCTCACCGTGTGTCTGGATGGGGAGTCGCAAACCGATCAAAGAAAAGGCCTAAGAGCCAATAAGAGACTCAGAGAAACCTGGAATCAGCAGAAACTGTTTTTCCATTTGATAATAGAAAAGACAGCATGACATCTGCTTGCTCACACAGGACTCCACTGCTGAAGAAAAGGTGCAGCAAAGCTGGTTTAATGCAGAACATTTGGATAAGTGAATGAAATACTAGAAGACCTGGTGTGCTCAGATGAGACCGCTTGTTTTATGCTTGAGGCGTCTGTGAGGTCCTCACGGCTGATTGACGGCCATTTTTGGAGTCTACGTACCCCCACCTCTGACTGAATTCCCACACCATGGAAAATGTGCAACAACAGATAGATCAGCGCGTAAGAACATGGTGAGAGAGAAACAGCTCCTAAAGGCTGATTTACACTGGGACTCTTTTTCCACCTGGGTCCCCGCTCTTTTTCACCATCATGTCCCTAGATCCTCCTGCACTGTGGCATGGAATAACATAGCACAGCTTCAATATTGGGACTGAATCAAAAATATCTGCTAGAAGCTGACTGTGGCACACTGCTGCAGGGAGAATAACCAGCCCTTACTGGAGAGGGTTCGCAAATGTAAATCTAGAGAAACCAAGTGATTTAGCCCTTCTACTATCACTACTATTCACAGATTGTGGAAAAACTCCTAGAAAGAGATGACAGTTGCTCTTGGACAGTATGAAGAGGCTTTTAATGAAGTTGTGAAAGGTTGAGTTTTCTACTTCCCCTTGTTGAGTGGTGTTCTGAGTTTCTGTATATGCCCCCCTGGAAGCGACCAGAATGGGGGATTGTACATAAAACATAATCCCACCTTTAAATGGTTCTGGGTACATAATTGACTGTAATTCAAAAACACCACACCAAGGAGGATGCTCAAAGGAAAGAGAATGGAGGTGTGAAGATATTTTTCCACACGTTACTGTCAGACTTCTGATGACTGATGGATGAACTCTCAGTTCTTTTCAGAGGGAGAAAAAAGGTCTGATTTGTACTGCAGTGGAAAATCCATGGAAGCAACTGAAGAGCAGATTTCCCAGAAAAGAGCCCAGAATCTTCAAGGTCCAGACAGCTAACCTGACTCCGCCAGATGGATTTGCTCCGCATATCCATCTGGAAACCTTCCGTTGAAGTAATTTTGGGAACAGGCGAAAATACTGGTTAGCTGATTGGCCTATGTTGGTGATAGAAGGGCCAGATAAACCAATCAGATCAACGAAGCATATG